GATGTTTTAACCCAATTTCGTTTAAGGTGATAAAGAACTGGTAGAAGAAGAATTTTCCCACAATGATATGAGTTGAGTTAATGTCTCCATTAAATTTCATATAGCCATGCTTCCCCAAATGTTGTTCTCATCCAGCGTAGACTGCGGTTTCGACCTTTCATCGGTCTTATCAACACCCTCATCGGGAGTCGAACCGCGACAGTACAGGATGGAAGCTTGACAATCTTATCCCAATTTCGCTCAATCACAACTTCTCACTTGTTTACATTCCACTCGTCAAAATATGCGTCCTTTTGTGGCACATTATATATATCACATTATTAATATCATTGCAAGAAAATCTTTACTATTAACCCTTTAGTCACCCTGAGTGATCTAAGATGATTAATTTCTTAATCAAGAATTACTAATAATGTTTAAAACATTTCCTTATCTAAAATGTGATTAAAAAGTGTTGAATTAATTAACTTGTACAGGTTCTTGAGATATGGTGGTCCTGAAGTTGAAATAACTTCTTCACGAATGTCAAACAGCGGTAGGCCAGTTATTGATCGCTCTGGGGGTACATCCCATTTAATATAATTTTTTTCATCAAATTAACTCTGAGTTTTACATCCATTGCTTCATCTTATGAAATAACTTTTACTTGGCTACCATGCCTCTTGTTTCTAGGGAGCTGGGCCGTCGACGGAACGAGTGACCATCATGTCGGCCGCCCGGGTTCCAACGAATGCGCCTCGTGACGTGACAGCGGGTGCCTTCAACTCGAGCGCCGTGACCGTATGGTGGGTGCGCCCTCTGACCACGGAGGGTGAGGGTCCGATTCTGGGCTATCGCATCATTTATTGGCCTCGGAAATCGGACTGCAGAGCCAGAGAGTCCGACCGCGCCAGACAGGAGTTGGGCCAGCGACAGACGATCTGGGGAGACGTCACCGAGGGCCTCATCATCGGCTTGGATACTGACACGTACTACTGCATCTCGGTGCAAGTAAGACCACTATGCAGCTGTAGTAGGATGATTTTTGCTGTCGATTCGGTAATTTTTCACAAAATGTCATTTTAGAGGGTAGGAAAAATGCAAGTGAAAACCCTTTAATGAAATTTAAAGGTTTACCTGGCCCCTATTAATGGAAAACTGCTATGAGTTTCTCGGACTAGTTTAACTGCCATAGCTTAAGTAAACATGAAGCTGGGTTGAGCTAAATTCTTGAAGGATCTTTAGCAAGTTATGGGATAATTTTTTCTGGGAAGGCTTTCAAGCCTCTGTCGCATATCCAGTTGAGCTGTGTTTGCTTCGAATGCTGGTCTGATCAGAATCAATGTTTATATACAAGACAAGTTGGCAAGTGTAAACTAAGGTTAGTGTAGCCCTCCGACGAGAATAATTATATCCTATTAATGGGTTGGCATTTAAGAGTATGCCAGTTAAGCTGCCCATCCATTTCAGAAGGCATCGTAGGGTTTCTTGACGGTTCACTATCAGCAGCTAAACTGGGCATCAGCCGAACAACAGTACCTCAGGTATGAAGACCAAGATGGTGTGGCCTTTTGTGTGGTCGCAGTCTCCTTTCGTTTTATAGAAGTTGTTT